CCCCTTGTTCTTTAGGATTGTTTGAGCCTTTCATTGTGCATAAGGTCTGTGATTGGTCTTTTCATCATAATAGGAATACTTATGAAATTTCTGAAAGATTAGTTCCAAGACTAAATTTTAAATTCTTGGAAGCTGAAACCGCAATCCTCCCGCTCCATTCAGTGATGGCTTTTCTCTTTTCAAAAAGATATCTTCATTGACCCCTCTCTAAAACCATCTGTCATCTCTGTCCATAATCTGAACACTTTGGTCTTCAAAGGTGTGTACTTTGTTGTTGAGGTGCAAGTCTACAGCTGAATCTTTCCCAGAGCTACCGGCTCTCTGATGCTGTGCCATGTGTTTGTTTAGTTATTGTTTGGCTTCTGCAATATAGGAGGCTGTACAGTCCTCCCTGCACTTGATTGCATAGACAACAGTGCTCAGATTAGGGTGTTCTGGCTTTAGGATGAACCAGGATGAATCCAGTTTTGAGTTCTTAAAAAAAGTTACTAAAAATTCTGCTCATGACTTCACTTGAAGTGTTTATTTTGCACCTGAAATCTGAACATTTTTGCCTAATAAATGTGTCTATCCAAGCATACTTTAGACATTGATATCTACTTGATCATTGATGAGTGATGAGGATGTTCTGATCTCTTCTATGCTGAACAATAAAACTGCTGTCATTTCTCCTTCTGCAGTGGCCGCCTTTCAATGCATTTCTGGTTTCAGAAGAGGTGAGCCAGACAGTCCTTGGAGGGTCTGCGAGTTGGCTGTTTAACAGTTGTCTGGATTCTAAAGTTCCAAAAAGGGAAAATCATTGAGACCTGGTGTTTGGTGTGCAATAATGGAGAGATGCTTTGCTTTGAATGCAGATGAAGGGGCACTCACACATATACACATCTTTTTGGGGGTCTGAACTTATCTGGCGTGGCAGAGAGAACAAAAGGAATGCCTCCAGGCTGACCCTTAACCTTTGGAATAGACTTTCCCCCGCTCGCGAGAGGGTGTTGACTTAGAAAATAAGGCACCGTGACGAGCCCTTCCCTCCCCTGCCTTGAGCTGTTTCCCCCATGTCTTCCTCGTTCCCGTTTTCATCCAGCGCGTCTGTCTGATGACAGGGCCATTACACGTCTGGGGCGAGAGAGGCCCAAACACCCGCAGAGTTCTCTGGGATAGATGCAAGGTGCTTCTCACGAGCTTACTGCGTATTTACTTACGTTGAAACCGTGCAGAACCAAAGGTTGAAAATCGTGTGTGCAAAAGAGACGGAGTGTAATGTGTGTGAATCGGCTGACTTCTAAAGATAGCACCAACCCAGTGGGTGTCTGTGCGTGTGGAGTCAGACGGAGGTAATGATTAACCTTTCCAGACTGTGTTTGTGTCCCTGAGAGAAGTGCAGTGAGTCTAGCACCTCCCCACCCTCCTTCCACAGCCGTCCTGCCTCGCTCCCCTTTCTGCTGAGCCCAGTTGGCCCATCTAGCATGGTGTCTGCTTTATCAAAGCTGTTGACCATAGAAATAGGGGGGTATATCCCAGTTAAGTCTTTGGCGCTCATGCTAAAAATTCATATGCTTGGTGTATTTTTTTTTAGGTGGCAACACCACATGTGATCAAGACAGTTGCAAAGTTTATATTCCTTTAACTAGGTGCAGCATGATGTTCCCATGTTATGGTAATATTGACTAATGATACAGCAATCTAACAATATTTCCACTAAAAATGATTGAAATTATTTTATTTAAAGAATTAATTATTCCCTCGTTGGCTAAGGTGAAAAATCTTGTAGTTATATACTGCTTGGCATTCTAGCCTGCAGTTTGGTGCTTTACAGACGAGCCGCCCTTAGCTGGCTAACTCTGATTCATTGTGGCTAGAATATATTCCTAAATAATTGAGGACCCGGAGGCGAGATTAGTGGAGTTCCTCAGTCCTGTTTGCTCAGAAAAGCTGAAGAAAGCTCACTTTAGCATTTTCAACTAGACACTAACAACGATAAAACACAGAAGCAATGCGATTGAAGATTTCAGCGGTTTTTAACCATATCTTTTTTTAAGCCTTAGTCGTCTGGTGTCTGTCATGCGGTTTTTTACGTTGCAAAAACCACCTTTAACCAGGACAGCTGAATGAATCATTGCCTGAGAGCTCTTGCTTTGTTGTGAACGAGCAGGAAAAGTCTTTGTTAGATGGGGGGGGGGGGGGTTGCCATGTTGGGTTTCCTGCATGTGGACCCCATGGGACAGACCAGAATGGGACACAGCAGCAGCAGACAACTGACAGGAGGAGGACAGAAAGGGTTAGGGTGACAGATGGCCGCAGGCTGCCGGCTAGCCAGCTTATCTCCGGCGAGGAGGAGAAGCTTGAGACACAAGAGGAGCTTTAAGGCCAGAGTGCAGCAGGAGCAGGTGGGAAGGCAGACAGTAACTCAGACTAATGCTTCCATAGGCAGACATCCAGAGCCCGGACATGCAGACAGATGTACAAGCAGAGACCACAGTGAATATTCAAGACCTGGGGCTAATGAGCACACACACAGCACTGCTAGTATGACTTCACCAGAAACACACCTAAGAAAGATACACCTGTAATAGTGTCAAGCCGTAACAAAAGAAGCTTGGCAGCCTTTGCAAACAATGATTATTAAATTAACTCGTTAGGTACTGGAATACCAAGGTGAGCTAACTGGGTGCTGCTAAAATTAGCAAGTGTTTTCATACATGCATGTTTGTCCAGCAGTATAACTCATGAGGTGTAAGTTCATCTGCTGTCAGAACAAGCTGTGAACATTACTATTTGAGAGGCAGCACCCTGCTGATGGAGGAGTCTGGCTGTCTCGCCATCTCGCCGGCTGATTCACCAAACCGGGTTTGGGTTTGTTTTCCTGTAGGAAACATGTCGTTATCAACAGAGTTCTGCTGAAGTCTCTCTTAATTTTGGAGGCACAGAGATTGCAATGCAAACCTTTTTGTCTAGTCAAAGTATATTTTATCTCAGTATGTCTCCTGCTTTTCTCCATGAGGCTTCTTCACATTTGAGCAGAACCTGACACAGGAGATTCTGTCTAAATGACGACAGCAATGTGTGAATTATTAGTCTTTAACATCTGTTATGACTCATAAATAAGTAAAAGACTTAAATATTTCCTTAATGGGTGACTGTCTGCCTCTTGCATCTTTCCTGCGTTCCTTTTTTCCCTCTTTCTTCTGCGGTTTTCTCACACCACGAGTTTAAAGTTTCTCAGAGGCGAGTCCATGAAGCGGGGGAAGCGTCGGGGCCGTTAATGTAGTCCTGAATAGCAGAGTGTTTTCGAGCTGCAATGACAGGCCCAGACAGGCAGCCGCTTTAATGACCTGTGACGCCAAGCTCTGTCTCTCTCTGCAATAATGCGCTCACACAAACACGCATATACACACAGCAGGGCACCACAGGTGAGCTCCACCAGCAGCCTCATGCGTCCTTGTCCTTATCAACCTTGGCTCTTCCTGTAATGTGTAAAACATGCCAGGTTTGGAGACTGTCTGACATCTTTCTGAGACATAAAAACGCCTTCTTGTCTTTTATCAGTGAGAGAGGTTCTCCTTTTTTCCTGCATTCAGTCAAACGTAGATAGCTGGGTGCTTGGTTTCCTTTAGCGCCCCACTGGGATGGATTTACGATAAATTCCCTGAGGCCAGACTCAGTTCAACTTCAAAGAACACAGCCCTGCTTGTTTTATGGAAGGCATGCTTTCAGTTTTGCTGGCCCCCTTTCCTTCTGCTAGACTTTTTTTTTTCTGTCTCCCTAGTCCCAGTGTTTTTTTGTTCCCTTCCTCATTTTTTTCCCCCCTCTTAATGAAGGCTAATGACAGGCCAGGATAAGTCCGCCTGGGCTCGGCAGAGATCCTGCCGCATTAACGTTACAGCCAGTCCCAGACGGGACCTTCCAAATTACCGGTTACATTCACAGCTACTGCTAGATGACAGAGAGCAGGTCGAAGGGCTCTGCTCCTCCACATATATACCTGCATTCCAAGCTTTCCTGATCTTCAGCAATCAGCCTACAGGATGACAATGAATGTACTTTAGAAAGGTTCCAGCACCGAGGTGATAGTGCAAAAACATATGAGATGTGCTTAAAAGTCGAAAGAGGAAGCAAAGTTGTAAAAGAAACAGTCAAAATATGTAAAAAGCATTCCTTCTCCTCTCCACCGCGCCCCCTCTGTCTCAATCTATTTCCCTTGCGCCTGAGTGGCTCCCTTTCTAGCTGGGAGTTGCTGGAAGCCAGATTTCTGCAGAATAGAGATATGGAGGGAGAGAGCGACGGCGCAGGAGGCACTGTAAAGGGTGGGGGATAGAGTTTGTAAACTGGAGCACAGCCATTTGTACACATCTTTTCTACGCTCAGGGGAAACTTCAGACCCATGAGGGTTCTCTTGTCAACAATTTAGGCACCAGGGTCTGCTTCTGTCGCCTGTCCAGCATGGTTTTTCTGTTTGTGTCTAAGCCCTGCATCAGTTACCACATCTCTGTTGGTCAAACTCTTCATTTCCTTCAGAGGGGCGAAGCATGTTGCTGTAGAGACAATCAGTACTAGAGGGTGACGTCAGTACATTGTTGGCCGAGCCACTACAAAAATACAGCGAGCCAGACAGAAGATAAGCATTTAATGCCCAGATAAATATTGCACCGCATGTGGAAACTTGCTTGGCAGTGTGTCTCCGGGTTGATTTTTCTTGTCTGTGGTCCAGGAATTCCAATATGGTTTTCCTGCATGGTAGAAATTGCGGATGACAGCTCAGTTTTGGCTCTTGACTAAAGAAGATGCTCTATTTCCCAAAACGGGGATAAAGATGAAGTTGTTCAGCTGTAGCAATGTTTAAGCAGCTTTGTTGCTGTGATTTAGATGACATCTGATGACATCTGTCATGAAGTCATCTTTTCTCTTCCTCTGCTCTCTTTTTCTTCTTGATCTTGATCTTCTATTGTATGATTTCTTTTATTTTGCTCAAGTCTAAGCCTCTTTATCTCTCTTTTCTTTTGCAGATTCCCTGGCGTTGCAGGAGTCAGGAGAGCCGACCCACTGGTGCGTGGTGGCGTACTGGGAGGAGAAGACGCGCGTCGGACGCCTCTACTCGGTCCAGGAGCCCTCTCTAGACATCTTCTACGATCTACCTCAAGGGAATGGCTTCTGTCTGGGCCAGCTTTGCTCGGACAACAAGTCCCAACTGGTTCAGATGGTGCGGGCCAAGATCGGCTATGGTATCCAGCTGACGCGCGAGCCAGACGGGGTGTGGGTGTACAACCGCAGCTGCTACCCCATCTTCATCAAGTCGGCCACACTGGACAACCCGGACTCGCGCACGCTGCTCGTGCACAAGGTGTTCCCTGGATTCTCCATCAAAGCTTTTGACTATGACAAGGCGTGCAGCTTGCAAAGGCCGAACGACCACGAATTTACACAGCAGCCTCGCACTGGCTTCACAGTGCAGATAAGCTTTGTAAAGGGCTGGGGACAGTGCTACACCAGACAGTTCATCAGCAGCTGCCCGTGTTGGTTGGAAGTAATCTTTAACACGCGATAGCAGCAGCAGGAGCCTTCCTCCTCTTCATGCTGACCTCTTCTACACCCACTCACAGAGAAAGACTTCATCCACTTTTCCTTTTTTGTTTTGTTGCTGAGGTTCAAATGCAGAAGAAAAAAAAGGAACTTAGAAAAGAGAAGAAAGTTTAAATTCTGATGGACTTGTTTGATAAACGACTGAGATTTAATTAAAAAGAAGCGGAAAAAAATGTATTTTATGTTATATATGAATATATTATTAATTGTAAATATGAAGACGTTTTATATGCATCATTATTTATGTATTGTGCAATGTGTTGGTGAGAAGAAAAGAAGATGCACTTTGCTTAATATAAATACAAAACAAAGAAATGCCAAAATAATAAAAAAAAAAATGTAATAAATGTAACATGACTCGTCTATTTTTTTGGGGGGGAAGGGATATTTTTTATTTTTAACTGCTTGAAGATGAACAGTTTTAATAAACTGAATCGACCTTTTGATTTTTGTTTTGGAAAAAGTCAGCATTAGTCTGAAGTTTGTGCTCCTGGGAGACTTCGATGTCATCCTGCAGGTTTTAAAAGCTTTTTCCTCAAAGACAACATGAGTCAGACAGTGTCACGAGCCCGGTTCCCTCAGGCTCCTTTACTGCTCGGTAAAACTGTCTGTTTCCTGAGTTATTTGGGGATGAATGTCCTGTTTCCTCTCTGTCATTAACTGACTTATGACATCACAGCCAGGAAGCACTAATGACAAATTTCAGAAACCAATAAAGCCAACAGCGGGTCTAGCTTCTCGGAGAAGCACCTTTGTTTAAAAAAGGCCAACTTAAGAGAAAAGTATATTTCAAACAAAAAAATTTGCACCACACCTCAAGAGAAAATAAAACCAAAGTGAGAATCTTTTCTCATGGTGCTGGATTTATTGGTTGGACATGATGGCCTATTTTGCGGCGGCTGGAGTCTCTGAACAAAGGGGACAAAACAGATCTCCTTCTAACAAACATTCTGTGTTTGTGTGCCTGTCTGACTATCATCCTGTTGAGAGTCAGATGGGTGTCTGCGAAGAGGATTATTACTGTAAGCCTGCTTTACCCGCACAGTCTCCAAGCCCTAGATTCCCAAGACCCAGATTCCACCACCCATCGTGTGCTTTGTTGGAAATAGTTTGGAAAGCCATCTGCCAAAAAAGTTGTGGACCCACACTGAAAAATATACAGGAAACAGTTTAAACCAGTCTTATTGTTTGTGTATTTCTTTAAATATAAGTAATTATTGCAGATGACAACTTAAAAAAAAAAGTGTATGATATTCTTTGAAGACTTTTTCTCTTGTCGTATCCTTTTTAAATTATTTGTCACATTTAAATATAACACTTAACAAAAAATATCCCAATCAAATACAATGAAACATTTTTTTTATTTCATTTGTGAGCATGAAAAGCTTGTTTCTAGTCAATCTTAGGCACCGTGGTCAAATTTAAACCTCCATTTTATTTTATTTTATTATTATTATTTTATTTTTATTTTTTTTGTAGCTGTACCTTGAATTATTGTCCTGATGTATAACCTAAATTTGCCCGAGCCTAACAGGACCTTCTCCTTCAGGATATTTGGAAAAAGGAAATTTTAGTTTTTAAAGTCCTGAAGCAGCACTGTCACCATTTTAAATCAAGTCTCTCTTGAAAACAAGATTTTGGTTTAAAATAGTGCATCATTGTGGCTGTTTATAAAGTGCTGTTTTAGTTTTATATCGATTTAACAAGATGCAATCCCTTAAAAAAAAACAAAAAAACATTTATTTTCTTCAACAATTCATCGATGATTTTCCCAAACGTCCTGGAGATCATAGATATTTTCTGGAAAACAGGAAATGGACATGCAGTTTATCAGCCTTTTCTTTCTTTTGCTCCTAAACTCTTCCCCCAACTCTCCTTGTTTTATTGAAAATGACTGCTGACCTTAAATAGGGTAAGTATCGCCTGCAGTGTTAACAAGTATTCAGGATTCTTTTGTGACCCAAATTAGTCATCAATTCACCTGCAGTAATTTTGGTTTGCTAGCAAAGGCCAAAATAATTCCCCACTGTGTTTTTGTTTGTTCATTTGTGAATGACAATGTATGAGGTTTGATAAAGTCTGGAAGAATTAGGGTGGGCTTTTGCAGTGGTAGAGTGGGTGACCCACGTACAGAGGCCCTAGTTTGAATCCCATCTTGGAGGCTTGTGCTGCATGTCTTCCTCCTGTCTCTTAACATCCTTTTGTCAGCACACTGTAAAATAAAGGAATTTTGTGCCACATACACTTAAAAGAAAAAGTATTTTGTAACCCTTCTATAGAGGGATTATAGTTGTTGGCTTTGATTTTCAACTTTTTTTCCATTTCCAGAGATACAGCTTGTTGTGCTGTTTATTCAACTGTTTTAGTGAAGTCAGATAAGTTCTATTTCAGAAAAGGTCTTTCTTTTACAGAGACAGCCTTCAGGCTAGTAAATGAAGAAATGTGGTTAATTGCATGTTGAGTTTTCACAGCCTGGTTGGTTTGGACAGATTATTTCCATTAATTCTGCATCTTTTTTCATTTAATTACATTTAATTTATCTGGTATGAGTTATTTATTTTTAAGATATGAACAATTTTAGCGTAATAAAACAACAAAAAATAAGAAATCTGCTAGTGGCCCACATTGTTGCGTATTAAGATAGACCCCAAATTCTTAAACTAAAAATCAAAGCTGTTTGTGTAACCCCTTAACCTGTTAATATAAAGCCAAAGCAAAACACATAGAGGGACCCCCCCCTAGAACAGGGTGACCCCGATTTAACAAATCTGTTAATACTGGCATAATTCCCCCACATGTACTTAAACACATGTTTGATTACACTTACTCTGAGAAAATGTTTGAAAAGGGATGTTATATGACTTGGTAAATTACACATTAACTGTTTATATTTCAAAAAAGGAAAAAAACAAACAAAAAAAACTTGCAGGACAATATATCATTCAAAAATAACATTTATCCATAACAATGAAGAGGTATTACATTTAGTTTAGAAATTATTGCAATAAGAAATGACTGAATACTTCTGATATCTTATTTTTTCAACAATGCAGATGTGTTAAAACACATGTACTTTTTAAATTAAACATTTTGGTTTTATTTAGAAAATTTAAATAATGTAAATTCCAATAAAGATTTGAAATAACGATATGTTTCATATAATGCTTAATATCTATTAGTTAAAAGACTTAAAACAGAGTTTTTAGCTGAAGACAACATAGAAAACTTAATCAATCTGTAGCTATAGCAAACTAACAAACAGTTTTATTTTAACCGTTTGCATTTATTAAATAAAAGAAAATCAATATTTTAACTATTGCATTTTCAGGACTATAGAGAGCACCTTACTCTAAGCCGCACCCAATACAAAAAACATACAAAAACAAAATACTGGAAAGTATATATAAGCCGCTGATAGCCCCCCAGACCTGAAGGGGGAGCACTACAGAAATCACTCCTAAAGTAAAGTTGCTTGTTGGCCTTGTCAGGTCATTGTTTCAGCTCTGCAGGAGTTACACACAGCCTCTTCATTGGTTCGACAGCTTTAATACGGCAAATAAATGTCAAAATGTGGTAATTTGAGATATTAGTTCTTCGTCATGCCTTCTGCCAGCATGTGCTTGTGTTACAAAAAAATGTGCCCCTTTTTCTTTGATTCCCTGCTTTGACTTCCTACCCCTGGCTTCCACAGAAAATGCACCTTCGTATAAACCCCATGTTTCAAAGCATGGGAGAAAATTAGCAGCTTATTTTCAATTCTATTCGGTTTATTTATATAGCACCAATTCACAACACATGTCATCTAAAGGCACTTTACAGAGACAATTCAATCAGACCATACAGCCAAAGTTAGTTTTCTATCTAAGGAAAACCAGCTGATTGCATCAACTCATTAACTCAAAAACCAATCCCTCACACCAAGCATGGTTGTAGCGACAGTGGAGAGGAAAAACTTTCTTTTAACGGGAAGAAACCTCCAGCAGAACCAGGCTCAATATGAGCAGCCTTCTGCAGACAGAGCAGAGATAGAAAGGAGCAAAGATACGAAATGTACAGTAACTGTTAACCAGCTCCACAGGTGGCCCTGTCCTGGAAACACAACCAGGCAGATGGGTTTCGAGCCAACTTCCATGTCAGAGGATGAAAGAGAGCACATCCAGTTAGTCACAGTCAGAGAAACAGGACTACACTGGAAACAGGCCAAGCTCCAACATCTATAAGCAAAGGTGTTGATGGCAGCAGCACAGCTGTATTTCTCTCCAGGATGGTGTCACAGCCAAACAGGAACAGACCAGATGAAGCTAGAATGAATAGAAAAAGTTAGGAAAGTATGGTAATAACGTGCCGCATATTGCTGATTGCACTGGCATAACACCATTATTTCTAATTTTTAATGTTTCTCGTTCATGACGAAGCTATTCAAATGAAACTTAGTGAGTTTCACTGGCTCTTACAATGTTTGTATTTGTCTTTGGCAGGCTTTAACAATGCATTAAATGTGTGTGTTTTAGCAACCTGCATGGCTGTGAAGGGTGTGGGTTTTTTACAGATTAAATGAGCGCATGTTCAGTCACATTTTGGCTGATTGTGGTTTGTGGTTGTTTATGGGGCGTGCAAATGGTGGGGAGGAAAACAGTTGGATTGTGGTTGTTTTTTTCCATCCAGAGATAATCTTGTTAGGGATGCCCTTAATGACAGAACTGGCTTGAATTAACAGGTATCAGTGAGCATATATTGTTATCTAGGATTACTTGACAGACTAGTCTGTTCACACAATTATTAATCATGTAGTCGCTGCTGCCACCAGGGCTGGTCTGGGCCTAAAAAATGACAAGGGCATTTTGGGTCATGGTGGCCCACCATGATTAGTTATATTATATGAGAAATTGATTTTACGTTAATACATCATGTTCTACTCACCCATATGATGGATGTTCATAATTTATAATTTATGGTACGCCAGCATTCATAACATGTAGGCGAATCAATATACGGTAAATCAATTTTTATATTTATATTTTTTTAAAACAAAGCGATGCGTGTATGACGTCATCCGCGCGCCGGACTGGAGTTGGAACAGGCAGCCCGGACCACATACGGCTACGCTCTACCCATTATTTTCATTCGGCTAGCAAATCTGAATCGTTTAATTCCATTTCGAGAGCGAGATCATCTGTAGTAGTAGCAGTAGACATCTTCCAGGCATGTGAGGAAAACTAGCAGCAGTTCAGTGGACAGGATGAATGAACGGTAGCCGGCGCACGGATGAAGTCTTACACACTTCGCTTTGTTTTAAAAAGATATAAAATATAAAAAATATAAGCATGGATGTCTGGGGGACAG